AATCAATTAATCCCATGTAGACGAAGGACAAAGTCACAAATGATGAAAAACGAATTATTATCTACAAAATAAATTGCTCAGACTGTGAAAAACACTACATAGGACAAAGTGGACGGCCTCTTCAGCTCCAAACACCACCACAATCATCCACCTGAGCTACAAATTTTCTCCACCATTTCAAAACACTTTTCTTTTCAACTGAATAAAACACACACTTTCGTCTTAAATGATTTCCATTCCTATTGATGGACTTTAGCGTAAAACCGTTTGAAATCAATGCTTCAGTCAAGAATTCTGCATCATCTTTAAATTTATCCATGATGCGAATTTTTTTGTGCTCTATTGAAGACGCATTTTACCAAGCCTTGCTTGTGTTGCATTGGACAAAAGCTGATGAAATGGAAATACTGTCCAGTCCAGTTTGACTTACTATAAACTGATCGCTTTATAGTTCCATTCTCACTTTGACTCAACAATATGTCTAGAAAGGGTAATTGGTCATTACTTTCTACTTCTTGGGTCAGCACGATGTTCTAATGAAAACGATTGAAATTATTCAATCACTCAGAGATATTGAAATCTTTATTGCACATAACCAAATTATCATCTATATATCTCTTGTACAGACAAAGTAACCTTACTGATGAGCTCACTCAACAAACTTTCGACATAGGCAATTATAATAAAAATCGTCAGCTAAGAGAGATCCCAAAAAAATCAATTTTTGTTCAAATGTATCTTTCAAGGAAATTTAGCTAACCATTTGGCAAGTTTATGTAGAGATTGTTTTTAATCTTTTTCACAATTTTAGTGTAGGTTATTAAGATATCAGAGGATTAGTGATGACTATGTAAGAGTTACTTGTTGAAAACTTTCTCATTCAATTATCAAGGTTGATAAATATTCTCTGCACATCAGCTTCAGCGCTGACAAAAACTTATTACATGAAGATAATTCGCTTAAATCAATATTAAAAAACTGTTGAGGATCTTAAATCCCCGAAATTCGCTTGATAAATGCCTTATTTCTATTTTCACGTTTGCTAGCATGGACTGATCAGTTGACCTTGAGATTTCAATTCCAAACACGAAAATCCATGGCTGTGATTATCTGCTGTGTATTTTAGTATGCTATATTCTTAACTGTCTCAAGGACGTTTCTGTGTTGTATAAATAAACGAGTGTTGTATGCTTGATTGTATTGTGTGATTGCTGGGTGTTTGTAGAATATAATTTCTACGCTTACAAAGCCTTTTTACTTCAGCCTAAGGATTCAAGGTAGCCTACATGGACGCTGGTTCATTGTCTCGTTCGCGTTTATCGACTGAGGTAAACTCGTAATAGTAGCCTCAAGCATACTAAGTGACGAACTCTACAAAAACTAGAAGCAATCACTTAGATGCCAGTACAGCATTTAATTCTCTCTTGTTTATGACTAGGTTGTTCTTCAATGTGTTTTTGATCTTCTGATTACATTGAGATCCATAAATGAATGAATATTAGGAGCATTCATTCAAGTCAAAATATTGTGCTAGATATTTTGTTAATCATCAATTTATTAACCCTCTATTGGCAAGAGTAGTTTTACATTGGTTTTCAGGAGAATCAAGGAGACTGCTTACGCGTTAGCATTTCAATGTGAACAGTTAGACTCAATCGCGTGGTGCAATCACCGCGCAGGTATCTGACACCCTGGTGGACTATTCACACCATTTTTATACATCAGTACATATATAGTGATTATTTCCGATTCATGATCGTGTCACAGTCAATATGCACCACATGAACAGGTCGATTTGACGCATCCAGCTTATCTGACTGTCAAGCCCATTATTATTAGCTATGGTGATATGCAATAAAGCACCCAATAACAATGGCCCTCGATAGAGTTGCAAACTAACTAATAATGAAATCGATCACCCTGCTATACAATTTTATATATGAACAACAACTATAACATCGTTCATTCATTCATTCATTCATTCTAATAAAATGTATTATTACAGATATCAATGAGAAGAAAAGAAATACTTGTAAAAATTAATTAGTTAGTTTTTATGCTACTTGAAAATGAATGTGGAATTCATGACAATTAAAAAAAAAAAACATAATATTCATTTGGACAAAAAATTCAATGAGACGATTATTATTTTTTAATCAGCACACGGGAACACAGTCAGTGCTTAGTTTGAACTTATTGTCTTTTGTTTATTTTCTGTAAATAAAAAAAAAGAAAATAGACATTGAATTTTGTGAATCATTTATTCAGCGCTGATTGTTAGTTCTTTTTAACAATAATATTTGTAGTGTAAGGGAATAGGTTGGAAGAAAAGAACTAGGGGCGGTCAAACTAAAACATGGCAAAAATCCATGAAGTCATTGACAACAAGTGGACTGAGTCATATCGGTAATTGTCAACTACCACCTGGTTGGGGTACGCGAGATGATAGTAGTAATCGATGGTTAGAGACCTTCAATGACATGGCTCAAAATCGTTCGCAATGACGCCGGTTCATTTAGTCTTTGTGTTCTCTCAAATCCTAATCTGCTGGATTCTTCAACACCTCTAGTTTTGACTTTCTAGGCTTATCTCACTGAATCATACTTCTTGAATGATATCTTCTAATCATAACATCTCCGATTACTTCTAATACCTTTACTACCTCTTCTACTATTTGGATTTGAATTGACAATGACACCTCTGTGCTGATGTGGTATGGCAACATGAACTGTTGTACTTACGTACAAAGTTCTACGTTGCATTTGACTGACTGACTGATTGACTGATCAATAATAAATCAGTTACAAAGTGGTTCAATCAAAACGCATACATGTTGAGTGATGTGTCAAAATGCCTACACCACACACACATGTTTCCATTCTCTTCACACATTTGAAATCAATCAATCAATCATTGTTAGACCACACCTTTAGAAATCTGGAAACACTGGACAGCTGTCTCGTCCAATTATGGCACTCATCAGCAGTGCATACCCATAACTCGGACCTAGGACCTTCAATCTTATAAGTGAATGTGACCTCATCCATTCGTGTTTGGTAGCTACTGTCATTATTGTAACGCTTGCTTAAATGATTCCCAGCTAACTCCTATTGCTTAGTATTCTCTGACCACAATAAACTGGACAAGTTCTCAAGAATCCAAAAACACGGTTGAACAGGATATGATTATATTCCAAAATAGCAAGGTTAAATGGAATGAGAAGCCAAAGGTGATGGCGACGGCGAAGAAGGCAAAAATAGATACAACGTTAGTTTACTTATCGCATTTACATGAGAATCTTCTCGATAGAAATTCACGTGATCGACTGAGTTAGATTTAGCCAATCAGTACGCAGCTAACAATACGAGAATTTTCTACCCTGTTCTCCAAGAATCGATCAGGAGCTGATTGGATAGGAAATTAGCTAATCAGCGCGTAGCAACGTAGTCATGCTTTAATTCCATCTATGTCCAACCAACAGTCATCTACTGTCAACCTACATTGTGTATCTTTCATCTAGACAAACATTGAAATAACATCAATTTCTCTCCAGATCTAACATATTATTCAATTAGTAATATCCCACATGAACTATTTCAAAAGCAATCCTCACTGGTTGTCAATTGTATCATGAATACAACACAAAAAAACATCCATTAACAATTTCAATGTCAAAATTTGATACATTTCATTCATTCATTCATTCATTCAATTCAAAATAATAATGATTTACTTGTCAGAATATCATTTCCCATTTTATAATAGATATCCAATAAAATTTTTTGTTCATCTACACAAATGAATTTGTATAGAAAATGGAATTACAATTTTAATGCAATTAATTAATATCTGTTGCACATTGATGATCAATATTCTGTGACATCATGATAGAAATGTGGAGTTTGCGTACATAACTAACATAACTAACATTGTGGTGTGAGCTACTTATAAGTAGTATATGACGTGAGTGTCAACGTAATGTCTGGCAGCAGAAGATGGGGGAAGATCAAGAAAGGAAGAGTTAGATAGAACACAATGGAATTTGTATGAAACGCATGAATAGTGAGTGACAATGGATTGATGTTGTTTGCAACAGGAACAGTCCAGTTCGATATGATGAACTGATATTTTGCAAATGAACGATTTAAGATATGGTTTTCCTATTTCACTACTGAGTAACTCTGTAATTTTCGTTGAATACAATTCGGTTGCCCCACCTGTTTTCTCCTTCACTACAACATGACAATGTCATAATCCACTACTGGATTAGATTAGGTATAGGTTACAACGATTGTTTATAGTTTTTTTTTGTAATGGTAATTGTAAAACAAAATTAATGATTGAAATGTTGATCGTTACACATAAATTTGTGCGTGAATTATGTTTTATTTGTTTGTAAAAATCCTCTGTTCAATGGAAAAAAAGAACACAGAATAATAATAATAATAATAATAATAATAATAATCTTAACTTACTTAAATAGTCATTGTATACTTGGGCGGCTGTATATTTCTCATTGATTAACTTGGGCAGGTTATTGATTTGACCTGAATGAATTTGAAACAGATGAAATTTCAGTGTTTCTGTTTGGGCATGTTAAGGGGTCATCAGAACTCGGTTGATAAATTCCTTATTATTTGGATTTCAAGTTTGCATGCATGGACTGATCAGTTGACATTGAGATTTCAATTCCCACAAGGAAAATCCATGGCTGTGTGATTGGCTGCTGTGTATTTTAATGTGCTATTTTTGTGACTGTCCCAAGGAAAGTTTCTATGTTGTATAAATAAACAAGAGTTGGGTGCTTGATCGCATTGTTCTTGTTGGTTGTTTGTAGAATATACTTTCTACGCTATAGCAAGACTTCTCTTTAGCCGTTTTGAATCAAGGTAACCTGATTGGACTTTGGTAATTGTCTCGTTCGCGTTTATCGACTAAAGTGAACTTGTCGTGATAGCTTCAGGCGTACCAAGTGACGAACATAACAATTTCTAAATACAACCGTATTGACTACAAACGAACTAATTGTTGCATTTCACATCAAGTTCCATGATTACTTGACAACGAAATTCACTGAGCATTCCAAGAGGAAACAACGAGTTTCTAGTGTAAAAATTGTTACCTGACGGTAATAACGATGAACGTAGTCCACATCTCATACTTTCGTAGAACGCTCCAAGCCCTGCTTTAACTAGTATGGAAAGAAGCATAATGAATTTATAGTAGATCTCTATGTATGTTGGAATTTGTTAAATATGAAGTAAATTTAATGATTTTTGAATAAATTAATCCTAGGATACACTACATCAAAATGTTCATAATTCACTAGCACAAAAGATCATTTTTCCAATCAATCGAACATAAACTATTCACACATTTTACTAGTAATGATTATTTTCAAGAATAAAATACCAATAGTATTTAGAATTTTGCACTAATCACAATAATGAAGAATGCTCTATACAATAAAGAATTTCTAATAATAATCGACATCTTTTTCTTTTTTTTTTTGTCGAAACATTTAAACTACTTAAATTAAATAAAGAGTAGAAGAAGATGAAGAAGCAGAAAAAAACAAAAATGAAACATGTTTATATTGATACATAAAATTTTTTATTCTATCTTACGCTTAATTTTATAATCCTGTTCATCAAAACATCCTTCGAAGTTCTTGTAGTCAATGGAACCTTTAGAATGAATTGTATCAATATGAAATAAATAAAATGTTCAATTACAATGAGAAGAAGGTACATGGATAGTGAATGCATAGAATTTCAATGAAATTATCTCTACTCAGTTATTATTTTCATATCATATTTTGTATAAATAAACAATGTCTACGAAATTCATGATTGTGTTACACATGCAAATCAACATGTTATTTTGGTATGCTTGAATTATTATTATTATTATTACCAGTTTGCCTTAATTGGAAATTAAAAGCGAGAATAGAGGATCCGGTGACACGATAGGCTACCTCTAATTTGATTATCCCAAACACCATTCGAGTAAAAGAACAAAACTTGAATCAGTATTCTATAAGTATACAAAAAAGTACAAGGTCCGAGTTCAGAAGAGAATCAGCATATCCTGGAGTAGGAATCTGGGTCATAAAACGTTACAGATAATACGTATTTATGCAGTCAGGTCGAATAGGAATCAACATTGAAGTCTGTGACATTGACAGTGAAGTTGACCAATAGGAAGAAACATTTGAAGTGACATTGATAGCTAGGACGATCCAAACAATGACCAATAAGATAACTGACCAATAGAATTAGACTTACAAAAATAATTCTCTTTTAGGATATTTGATGAATATCCCTCAATAATGATATCACATAATTTTCAATAATATAAGAAATGTTCACAAAACTACATACTACTGTATTTTTCATTTGAATTCTTCAAAAAACGATTGATTCCTAGATTATTTAATTAAAACAACAACAACAAAACAGAATTAAAAGTTCACTTATAGAGGAGCTCAGTGTTAAATTTAGTGAAATGTTGACATCATCAGTCAGTCATACAGTCAGTCAGTCAGTCAGTCAGATACAACGTAGAACTTTGCACGTAAGTACATCAGTTCATGTTGCCATACCTTATCAGCACACAGATATAATTGTCAATTCAAATCCGATAGTAGAAGAGGTAGTAAAGGTTTTAGAACTAATCGGAGAGGTTAGAATTAGAAGATATCATTCAAGAAATATAATTCAGGGAGAAAAAATTAGAAAGTCAAAACTAGAGGGTTTGAAGAATACAGAATATTCGGATTTAGGAAAACACAGAGAATAAATGCACCGGCGCCATCGCAAATGTTATTGAGCCATGTCATCCAGGGTGTCTAAACATCGATTATTTTCATCTCGCGGACCCCAACCAGGTAGTCGACAACTACCGACATGGCTAAGCCCACTCGTCAATGACTTTATGGATTTCTGCCATGTTTTAGTTTGACCGCCCCTAGTTCTTTTCTTCCAACCAATTCCTACACTACAAAACAAAGCTCGTCGAGGCAGTCGTTGGTTAGGCATACGCAGCACATGTGCCAACCACCTCGACTGATGAAGTTTCAGCACTTCATCTTTTGATCTGCCATTCTTACCTAGCACCCGTCTCCTAATAACAGCGTTGCTCACTCGGGTGTCCCACGATATACGAGCAATGCTTCGAAGACACCTATGATCGAAAACCAATAACTGACGAATATCTTCTACTCTCACTGGCCATGTTTCACAGCCATAAAGTAAGACGGTTACGAAACATCATCATCAACCAGTGCATTCTAACTTTATGCTCAACAATAATTTTTGTGTTGTATTGATTAGGAAAGGGAAATAATAACAAGGAGGAAGGCATTCAATGGAGTTCGTTACTCATGATTAACATGTATTGACAATTAATTATGCCATCCAATAAAATAATGAATTCAATGTAAAAAAAAAGAAAGTATAAAATGTTTCATTTCGACCAATCAAATTCATTCTGTCTGATCAATAAAAAAAGGCGTGGAAATACAGCAACAACAACAACAACAACAACAAATAGGGTGTTTAGAACAATCTCTACTGACGTATTCGATCTTCCTCAAAAACATTAGCTATCCAACGGTTCACTGTACAATTGACATCTAAAAAATGAATAAGTGTGTGTTATGAGAAAACAAAACTACTATCTTTCACATACAGTCATCAACAGTTTTAATGTTTTCAGCTTGTTCTCCCTTCATCATATCTAAAAAAAAAATTGGAATAACACAAACAAACTATGCTTACTTATTCAATATGGGATTTGACATTATCTCCAATTAATTAACACATTTGAAATCATCAAACAACCATTGTTAGACGGCTGTTAGGTCCTGGTATGGGACTTATCAGTGGCAGTGAGCATCCACGAATCCTGCACCTCGTAAGCCTAATTGGTCCAGAGGTTAGGCGTTTGCGCACAATACCGAAGGTGCCGGGTTCGAATCCTGCGAAGTGCAAGAGTTGTGGATGCGCACTGCCACTGATGAATCCCATACCAGGACGAAACGTCCGTCTTCCAGTGCTTCCAGGTTTCTAATGGTGTTGTGGTCTAACAATGATTGGTTGATAAATTAAAATGTGTAAGAACACTAATCTTCATCATTGTAATTGAAAATATTTTATTAAACCAAGTCAATATAATAAATATTTCCACAAATGTTCACTACATGTCTCAACACAATATTGATGGTAAGCGAAATGCGCTTTTCTCAGTTAACCATATCTAACACATTGATATTGATGTTTGACTGACTGACTGACTGTATTGGGAAGTAAGAATGAAAGCGACGAATGACTGAAAAAGTCAAAAGACATGTTGGACAAATCACGTGAGCTAGACGTTGAATGACTCACTACACATGCTTGACATCTACTACACACACACACACACACAAATGATAATGGCTGCCTAAACTGAGCTGAAATAGGCATCAACTAAGGTAGACAGATGACTTATTTTCAACTTACAACACTTAAGGTTCGGCTTAAGTTAAGAAGAACATTATTCAACAAAAATAAAATTACCTATTTCCTTTTGTAAGTTGTCTGTGTATTTTATGAGATCTTTTTCATAAGATATTATCAATCCTAAATTTCAATGAGAATAATTATGTTTTTAGATGATATTTCTCTGTAATAAATACGTTTAAATTTACCGAGCGTGTATTCCAAATTTAACAGTTACCAATATTATAGCCAGTGAAACAGGAATGACAGTAATGAAAACTTGAAATTTATATAAAGCGAACATGAACAGAAGGAAAATTTCATACAATGAAATAATCCTAGAAGATCATTTCAAGTTGCTGGCTGCAGAAACAGAAAGATACAATCGGGAAGTGCTTGGAATCAGTGAAACGCATTAAACGTAGGTAGGACAACTGATACTTGCTGCAAGGGGAACTGCTGTTATACTCCGATAATCAATAGGAAAATACTTCACACACACACACACACAACGAGTTGCACTGATACTGTCAAGACATGCATAAAAAGCACATACAACATATCGATCTTATGCAGCCAAGATCATTAGAGCATCCTCCAAGAAAATCTACTGAAGGAGAGAAGAAACTAGATTCCAGTGCAGAAAGAAATGCAGAAGAAACTCTGGAAGTCGATAGAACATACACTGCGAAAAGCAACCAACTGCCTCACATCACAAGCACTCACAAACAAACCTCACGGTAAAGGGAAAGGAGAAAGAGTAACGAACAAATTACGCCAAAAAATAGAGGAAGATATGAGAATGCACAAACATTGGACAGAATTGGAAAGGGAAGTCCAGAACAGAGTCGGTTGGACAATACTGGTCGACAGTATATGCTCCATTGAGGATAATAGGGGTAAGTAAGTAAGTAAGTAAGTAAGTACGTAAGTAAGTAAGTTAGTATGAAATAACAGTGCTGACTGAATTGCTTTCTGTCGAAACAGTTTTTCACTTCAACTTGATTTGTCATTGAGACTGATCAAAATCTCCACTACACATGTGAAGTGACGTGAGAAATACACAAACTGGGAGTGTGAATTCAAATCAAAATCAACAACACACTGGTCGCGTTTGAATTTCAAATGCACTGACTGTTAACTTACTTTTTATACTGATCAATTCTTCTTTCACCAACTTCATTTCAGCTGTTTCGAATTCTGAAACGAAACGGAACACAGAATTAGTGTAAATGCTTCCGGTGAAGTATAAACAGTCAAAGTAATACTTGTAAATCCTCTATTCCGATTAATCATAAACAAATCTACTTTCAATGTATTATAAGCTTTTCCAATGTACACCAATTAATGCAGCTTATCATTTACACAGTAGAAAATAACTGATAACTGAATCATGACATGAAAAATGTCTACCATCCCTCAACTGGCAGTGTAATAACGTGACAATCAATGCCATGAGATGACATCAGAGTATATCTGAACATTTTCATGTAATCCAACAACTACTTGTTGCACATTTTATTGAATAAATCAGCAAAGATAATTGGAACTATTCGTTAATGAAGAAAGTGACTTCAGATAAATACACTGTCATTTCTAATTATTGGAGTTTTTCACGGTCAATCAATTGAGGAAAGCCAAAGAACACATTACGCCAACAAATAGAGAAAGATATGAGAAGAATGCACAAACATTGGACAGAATTAGAAAGGGAAGTCCAGAACAGAGTTGGTTCAGTCAGTCAGATGCAACGTAGAACTTTGCACGTAAGTACATCAGTTCATGTTGCCATACCTTATCAGCACACAGATATAATTGTCAATTCAGATCCGATAGTAGAAGAGGTAGTAAAGGTTTTACAACTAATCGGAGAGGTTAGGATTAGAAGATATCATTCAAGAAATATGACTCAGTGAGAAAAAATTAGAAAGTCGAAACTAGAGGGGTTGAAGAATACAGAATATTAGGATTTGAGAAAACACAGAGAATAAATGCACCGGCGCCATCGCAAATGTTATTGAGCCATGTCATCCAGGGTGTCTAACCATCGATTATTATCATCTCGCGGACCCCAACCAGGTAGTCGACAACTACCGACATGGCTAAGCCCACTCGTCAATGACTTCAGGGATTTCTGCCATGTTTTGGTTTGGCCGCCCCTAACTTTCTTCCAACCTACTCCTACACTACAAAACAAAGTTCGTCGAGGCAGTCGTTGGGTAGGCATACGCAGCTGATAAGTTCCACACAGCCCAGCTCATCTAATGCAACCACAGCTCCATCGGTCGACGGCATCGCAAATAGCATAGCTGAATTTCATTATGATCCTGATGCAAATGTCACTTTTGACATGTGGTTCCGTCGTGATGAAGATTTATTTAAATTTGATTTCGCCAACCAAGATGATGCTTGGAAGGTTCGGCTGCTACTTCGAAAGTTGGGCGCAAGTGAGCTGGATAAGTAATGCAATTTGATCCTGCCTTTGAACCCACGAGATTGTCCATTTTCTGAGACTGTTCAGACTTTAAGCCAACACTTTGGCGATAACTCGTCACTGTTTAATACTCGATATCGATGTTTGAAGCTAATTATGAACGAAGATGATGACTTTCTTACGCATGTGGGCATCGTCAACCGTGAATGCGAACGCTTTCGGTTGAAGTCTTTGTCGGAAGATCAGTTCAAAGCCCTCATACTCATCTGCAGCCTCCAGTCGAGTAAGTTCAGTGACATTAGAACAAGGCTACTATGTCTGTCAGAGCAAGATCCTAAGCTCACTCTTAGTGACATGGCTAATGACTACCAACGTCTCACTAACCTACAACGAGACTCAACTGTAGTTCAGAGTGGTAGTCCATGCCGATCTGAAATTCATTTGGTACAGCAGCCACCTAATCATAATAAGTCTGCCCATGTTACACCCAGTTCATGCCGCTCCAATTCTGACCAAAAACCCAAAATGAATCCCCCTTCTGCTTGCTGGCACTGCGGCTCATGGCACTATGTACGGAACTGCCCATTTAGGCAGCATAGATGCAGGAAGTGTAAACTCATCGGCCAGTAAGATGGCTTTTGCCTACAGAAAAAGCCAAACCGATCCAGAAGTGCTAAGAAGTCTGTTCCTAGATCCAGTACCAATGCATTGAGCCTAATATCTTCCTGCCAAAGCTCATCACCAGGTGAGGGGCAATTTATTACTCTTAATATTAACGGGCATTTGTGTAGATTGCAAATAGATACTGCATCTGATGTCACTATCATCTCACGCAAAAATTGGACCAAATTGGGTAGCCCAAGCCTCCAGCACACAACACAGAAGCCTCGTAATGCATGTGGTAATTACCTTCGTCTGTTAGGACAATTGGAATGTAAAGTTGCTTTCCGAGATTCGTCGTTTACTGGGGTATGCTATATAACGCCAGCTGATCTAAATTTACTTGTTTAGATTGGTTCGACCAGCTAAAATTGGCTGATGTCCCATATGCAACTTGGTATCACAACCACATGACTCCGAAACATATAAGAAGAAGCTGATGACGGAGTTTTCAACCATTTCCCAACCTGGATCAGGTCGGTGCACTGCCATGAAAGCAACACTTCGGTTGAAACATGGGGCTAAGCCTGCTTTTCGTCCAAAGAGACCTGTACCTTATGCAACATTAGCAACAGTAGATGAAGAGCTGGATCGCCTTCAACGACAAGGAGTTATTACTCCCGTTTCTAACTGCAGTTTGGCAGCACCTATAGTCGTTATGAAGAAGGCCGACGGCACGATACGTATATGTGCCACAGCACATGTCCCAACCACCTCAACTGATGAAGTTTCAGCACTTCATCTTTTGATCTGCCATTCTTACCTGGCAGCCGTCTACTAATAACAGCGTTGCTCACTCGGGTGTCCCAGGATATACGAGCAATGCTTCGAAGACACCTATGATCGAAAACCAATAACCGACGAATATCTTCTACTCTCACTGGCCATGTTTCACAGCCATAATGTAAGACGGAGCGAACTACTGCGCAGTACACTCGTCCTTTAGTCAGCAAGTGGATACCTCGCCTACGTCATAGCTGTATCCGAGCTGAGATTTCGTCAGTCACCAGGCCATCAGCACTGATGAGACTCCCCAGATAAGTGAGGCGGTCAACACGCTCGACTACTTCACTCCCTATCACTAGTTCAGGTGCCGATGAAACCCAATCTTGAAGCAACATTTTGCATTTCGACGGGGAAAACCGCATCCTCAACATGCTTGCATTTCTGCTCAGGGTGGCCAGAAGACTCCGCATTTTGTCAGCGTCTTCACCAAGTAGGACAATGTCATCGGCATATTCTAAGTCAATAAGCGAGCCACCTGGTAGAAGGTCTACTCCTGAAAATTCAGACGAGAATAAGGTTATTTCTAGGAGCATGTCTATGATAAAATCAAATAAGAATGGAGAGAGTGGACATCCCTGACGCACACCACTTGAAGTAGAGAATTCCGGTGACAGTTATCCATAAGCTCTCACTCGACCAGTGGTGTTCGAGTAGAGAGCTTGTATGAGGCTAATGTACTTCTTTGGTACATCTTTCAATGATAGACACTGCCACAGAACCTCACGATCCACTGAGTCGAATGCCGCCTTAAGGTTCAGAAAAACAACCATTTTAGGACGCCTAGAAGTGTGTCTGTGTTCCAGGACCTGTCGTAATGTGAAAATGTGGTCTATACAACCACGTCCAGGTCGAAAACCAGCCTGGTTTTCTCGAGTTTGCTCTTCACGAGCTTTCGTTAAGCGTCGAAGTATTATTGAGGCCAATATTTTAGATACTATATTAGTTAGACTTATTCCCCTGTGATTGTCACAAGAAGACTTTTGTCCTTTCTTATGGATTGGGACAATCAGTGATTCAGACCAGTCGGATGGGATTACGTCCAGTTCCCAGATTCTACCTAAGATCTCAGTCAAGCTAGCTGCTAAAACTGGACCACCATCCTTAAATATCTCAGGGGTCAGTACCTTATTCAACATTAGCAACAGTAGATGAAGAGTTGGATCGCCTTCAACGACAAGGAGTTATTACTCCCGTTTCTAACTGCAGTTGGGCAGCACCTATAGTCGTTATCACGAAGGCCGACGGCTTGATACGTATATGTGCTGACTTCTTTGCAGGCCTCAACGCAGCTCTAGAACAGCATCATCATCCTCTGCCAGTTCCAGCAGATCTGTTCACTATGCTGAATGGGGGAAGGTTCTTCTCAAAGCTTGACCTAGCTGATGCTTATTTGCAAGTGGAAGTCGATGAAGCATCTAAAGAGCTGCTTACTATCAACACTCATCGTGGTTTGTTCTAGTAAAACCGCCTACCTTTTGGAGTTAAGACTGCTCCATCTATCTTCCAACAACTAATGGATACTATCCTGTCGGATATCTCAGGGGTTGCAGCTTATCTCGATGATATCCTAATTGTTGCAAAGACGTTAGAACAGCTACGGCAACGCACAACATTGGTACTAAAACACATCAGTGACAACGGTTTCCCGTCACGCCCATAGAAATGCCAGCTTTTATTGCAGTTGGTAAAGTATTTGCGGTTCATCTTTGATGCCGACGGTCGCAGACCGTTTCCTGAGAGCATCCGAGCTATCAAACTGATGCCCACTCCCACTAATGTTTCCGAATTACGATCTTTTCTCGGTTTAATCAGTTATTATTCAGCTTTTGTTTCCTCGATGCATGATATTCGCGCTCCATTGAATTGTCTACTGCAGAAGCATAGCACATGGAACTGGACTAAAGAGTGTGACGCGGCTTTCGGTAAACTCAAGTCTATAATTAGCTCGGAGTTGTTTTTAACAGACTACGACCCATCCATGCCGATCATCGTAGCAGCAGACACTTCAGCATATGGCCTAGGTGATGTTATTTCACATCAGTTTCCAGACGCGTCAGAAAATGCCGTTGTGCATGCATCCCGTACACTAATCCTAGCAGAAAAGAAGTACAGCCAGATAGAGAAAGAAGCTCTTGCCCTTGTGTTTTCTGTTCGCCGTACGGTCGGAGATCCACGCTCCTCACAGATCACAAGCCTCTGTTAGCAGTATTCGGTTCTAAATCTGGCATTCCAGCCCATTCTGCAAATCGTCTTCAGCGATTGGCCTTGGTACTTTCGGAGTATCATTTCGAAATCCAATATCGACGTACTCTACAATTCGGTCAAGCAGACGCTTTGTCACGACTCCTTAGTGATCAAGTGACGGTTGAGGAAATCATGGTGATCGCATCTCTGTCAGTAGAAGACCACGCAGAATGTTATCTGACAACCGCAGTTCGCGCATTACCGGTGTCTGCAACAGACATACAAAATGCTTCTAGAAACGGCCCCATCATCAAGATGACGATGAAATATGTCACTAACGGTTGGCCGTCGAACAAGCAGGCAGCAAAGATGAATGCCGAAATCCCGCCGGTTTCATGGCTCAAACCTAAACATCCTTGTTCCAGTATACATTTAGACGTTGCTGGTCCAATTAATGGAACTATGTATTTAATTGTGGTCGACGCCTTTTCAAAATGGCCAGAAATCAACCCCGTTATGCCGCCCACTACAACTAAGACGAAATGGCATACCAGATGTGATCGTATCTGACAACGGCTCTCAATCTACCTCTACCTAACTCCAAACTTCCTGCCATTAAACACTTACGCTTGCCACCATACCACCCACAATCGAATGAGCAAGTGGAAAGGTTTGTGGATACGTTTAACAGAGCATTGGTTAGGTTAAAAGGGGAGGGTCTACAAAATTTCTTGTACGTCTATCGAACAACACCGAATGATTTGTTACCGGAGCAAAAGTTCCCAACAGATATTCTGATGGGAAGAAGACTGAAAACGATCCACAGCCTGATGCATCCAACTAATGCACCAACAACAGTAGAGACAAGGCCGCAAAGACAATCCTCTTACGGAGTGGGATGCCCTGTGTTCGCCCGTCACTACAGAACGAACCAATGTCCTTGGACAGAAGCGCCAGTGGTCAGAAGAGGTGGGTGAGTTATGTGCGAAGTAGAGGTAGGAGGTGTTAAGTGGTCACGTCATCGAAACCAGATACGCAAGCGGCTTGCACCAGATAGCCCAACAAGAGCAGAAAATCTTCCACTTGATATCCTACTTAACACCTTCAACCTACCTGCAGACCCACCACGAAAATAAACTCAGCAGCAAGCTGTTCTCTGTGCCAGATGGTGTTCTATCAGACAGTGGCTAACAAAAGTCAAGATGCAACTGAACCCCAGAGGCGCACACTATTTCAAAGGTAAGGAGTGTTCGTGATGTTAGATCACCAGAATTCGATTGATGAATTCCTTATTATTTTTATTTCAAGTTTGAGTGCATGGACTGATAGGCTAACATTGAGATTTTATTTCTAAACAGGAAAATCGTTGGCTGTGATTGGCCGCTGTGTAATTTAATGTGCCATTATTTTGACTGTCCCAAGGACGTTTCTGTGATGTATAAATGAACGAGAGTTGGGTGCTTGATTGTATTGTGCTTTCTGTGTGTTGTAGAATATGCTTCTATGATTACCAAGAATTTTCCTTATACAGTTTTGGACCAAGGTAGCCTAACTGTGCTCTGGTATTCGTCTGGTTCACATTCATCGAATAGGGTAAACACGTAATAGCTTCAAGAGTATTTTGTAACGAAAGTGACATAAAAACAAGCAACAACACAAGCAATGATTGATATGAATATTGACAATTTCTTAACTTACTCCTGAAAAGTGCCAGTTGATTTCTTAATCTCTTCCTTTCAGCCGCTTCGAATTCTGAAACGAAACGGAACACAGAATTAGTGTAAATGCTTCCGGTGAAGTATAAACAGTCAAAGTAATACTTGTAAATCCTCTATTCCGATTAATCATAAACAAATCTACTTTCAATGTATTATAAGCTTTTCCAATGTACACCAATTAATGCAGCTTATCATTTACACAGTAGAAAATAACTGATAACTGAATCATGACATGAAAAATGTCTACCATCCCTCAACTGGCAGTGTAATAACGTGACAATCAATGCCATGAGATGACATCAGAGTAAATTGAAAAATTTTCATGTAATCCAACAACTACTTGTTGCACATTTTATTGAATGAATCAGCAAAGATAATTGGAACTATTCGTTAATGAAGAAAGTGACTTCAGAGAAATACACTGTCATTTCTAATTATTGGAGTTTTTCACGGTCAATCAATTGAGGAAAGCCAAAGAACAGATTACGTCAGCGAATAGAGAAAGATGTGAGAAGAATGCTCAAACATTGAACAGAATTAGAAAGGGAAGTCCAGAACAGAGTTGGTTGGACAATACTGGTCGACGGCATATGCTCCATTAGGGATAACAGGCGTAAGTAAGTAAGTAAGTACGTAAGTAAGTAAGTAAGTTAGTATGAAATAACAGTGCTAATTGAATTGCTTTCTGTCGAAACAGTTTTTCACTTCAACTTGATTTGTCATTGAGACTGTTCAAAATCTCCACTACACATGTGAAGTGACGTGAGAAATACACAAACTGGGAGTGTGAATGTGAGGTTGTTGGGGATAGTGGGTACTGAGAACTCGCTTGATAAATTCCTTATTATTTGCATTTCCTGTTTGCGTGCATGGACTGATCAGTTGACCTTGAGATTTTATTTCCAAACAGGAAAATCATTGGCTGTTATTGGCAGCTGTGTATTTTAGTGTGCTATTTTCGTAACTGTCCCAAGGACGTTTCTATGATGTATAAATAAACGAGAGTTGGGAGCTTGATTGATTTGTACTTTCTGGGTGTTTTAGAATATGCTTCTAGGCTTACCAAGATCATTTTTCGAGATAGTCTCACTTACACTAAGATTCCTAATACCAGTTTCCTTGATAAGTCGGAAAAGATGTCTACTGTTGCCCATCGCTTTTGCATTCTATGCCCACCAATGTTCACAGTCGTTGCGCAGGCTTTTTATCAGCCTGCGCTTAAGCTACCTTCACTGTTCATCATGTTCAGAGTCAGGTGGGATGATTTTTCGGGCATCCATCAGATCGGTTGATGCTACAGAGATCCAAGGCTTCATTCTAGCCTTATGGTTTACTTTAATAGCAGATATCACTGCTGTTTCCACAGCCTTCTTGATATCGAACCAACCTGCTTCTGGATGAGAATCGCTTACGTGGTTGCTCAACTCTGTTTCTAGTTGCTCCTGGAATATTTTCTTAGTTTGATTATCATTAAGTAAAACCCAAAGAGGCTTTCTTACGGTGTCTTTCCTACGCCCAGTAAGCCTCAAACAAATACGAGCTCGCACTAGGGCATGATCTGAATCTAAACATGTGCCCCACAACGAGCGACAGTCTTCTATCGAACTCCTCCATCGGTGGCTGATGGCGATGTGATCTAGTTGAGTCCGACGTTGAGACGACTTTGGAGGTCGCCGGGTCAAGAGATGCTTTTTCTTATGCCTAAAGTTAGTGTTTGCTAAATATAGGCGGTTGTCTGAGCATGGTTGCAACAGACGGTCGCCATTGTCTGTTCTCTGAGCCGCGACACCATAATATCCACCTAGAAGTCTTTCATTTTCACTCAGTCTACCTTCTTGAGCATTAAAGTCACCAGCCATTATTACTATATCCGAGCGCCTAAATTTTTAGAGATCCGAAATCTTTCTGTAAAACTCATCTTTAACCTCGTCTGAACTGCACTCAGTGGCGGCATTTGCAAATATGACGAAACGGCAACGGCGAGTGTCTCTATCATTCCGAGTACTTACTGACCTGTTTAGTCGGACAGCGCACAAGCAACTATCTATTGGGATCCAGTCTAGGAGAGATTGTTCAGCTCTACGACTCAATGCTATGCCTACGCTAGCAGGACCCCTGGAAGCAGCATCAGGGGTTCCAGATAGACCAAGAGTAAATCGAGCTGCTTCTTTATTTTTACAAGGTGAAATCAGATTAATAATTTTACTAGGATCCTGTATGCGCGTTTCTGAGACACAGCATACATCGATGGCACGAGATTCTAGAGTCCTAGCTAAGGAAGCCTGTTGCCCTATTTGACACAATGTCCGTACATTAGAAACTCCAACATGTAGTCTAGAACGGGTTTTCGAGAGACCAGGAATGACGTTTCGTGAACTCGCTTCGTCTGCATTATCGGTGCAGTGAGAAAAGTGACTATGAGTAGAGTTCGTTGTGGAGAGAAGAGAGGTGTGTGTGGGTGTAGGAAGGATTTGATTTCGACCAATTTGGTCTCTGCCGGAGACGGAAATCCGTTAGGTGAGGTGACGTGTGACAATTTTAGGGTCGACCTTTTCTAACACTTCCTTCCTTGTGAGAAGGCAGCATCGCTGCAGATGCTGGTTGTCCGAGGGAAACACCTTACTGCTGTCATACCCCTCTGCAGTCAGCAGTACGACTTCGCCCTCAGACCTTGGGTAGCTGCTTTCAGTCTCATCGTTCTCCAGTCGACCTGCCTGGCATAGTAGAATCTTCAGGAACATATGTTACAGCCAGTAGAGCTCAGTTGAGTCATCATGATAGGCAAGCCCGACCACCACGTCAAGGTAGCAGCTACGGTCGGGAACAGCGTTGGTTGGACAATACTGGTCGACAGCATATGCTCCATTACGGACAACAGGCGTAAGTTAGTAAGTAAGTATGAAATAACAGTGCTGACTGAATTGCTTTCTGTCGAAACAGTTTTTCACTTCAAATTGATTTGTCATTGAGACTGATCAAAATCTCAACTTCACATGTGAAGTGACGTGAGAAATACACAAACTGGGAGTGTGAATTCAAATCAAAATCAACAACACACTGGTCGCGTTTGAATTTCAAATGCACTGACTGTTAACTTACTCTTCTTAGCTTCCAATTCATTCCTTATCCTTTTCCTTTCAGCTGCTTCGGATTCTGAAACGAAACGGAACACAGAATTAGTGTAAATGCTTCCGGTGAAGTATAAACAGTCAAAGTAATACTTGTAAATCCTCTATTCCGATTAATCATAAACAAATCTACTTTCAATGTATTATAAGCTTTTCCAATGTACACCAATTAATGCAGCTTATCATTTACACAGTAGAAAATAACTGATAACTGAATCATGACATGAAAAATGTCTACCATCCCTCAACTGGCAGTGTAATAACGTAACAATCAATGCCATGAGATGACATCAGAGTATATCGGAACATTTTCATGTAATCCAACAACTACTTGTTGCACATTTCACTGAATAAATCAGCAAAGATAATTGGAACTATTCGTTAATGAAGAAAGTGACTTCAGATAAATACACTGTCATTTCTAATTATTGGAGTTTTTTCACGGTTTTTACATGAATTGCACGAAATCGGACAACTGATTTTACAGTGTTGTGTGTTCAATAATTATTGTTGAAGCGACGTCAATGTACACTCGAATATAAATTCATTTATTTGTGTAATATTTCAAAGTCAATATGCTAATATTTACAGTAGTAATTAAACCATAAATGAATATAATACTGATATTTCGTTGAATTATTTTGAAAATGTATTATTTACTTACTTTGTTGTGTTGATGCTTGAATAATCAAGAGAAATACAGTGATACAAATGAACAACAATGTATGCCGCATGTTCGCTGAAACAATGCTCTTGCTCTGTATTCTTGTATTTTTATACTGAAACAGAGAACACTAGTGATTGGTTAATGTCATTTCATTAGATAATCAGTGATTATTTATTGAATGTATGTTAACAAATCGTACGATCATCATCACACATTCCAAACTAATGTGTTATTATTTCTTCAGTAAAATTTTCACTTATGTGTTAGTTGGACATCGATAGAAATCAAGCATGACTGCGCAAGGTGCGCGCTGATTGGCTAATTTCCTATCCAATCAGCGCCTGCCAGGCTAGAAAATTCTCGTGTTATTAGCTGCATGCTGATTGGCTAAATCTAATCTGGTCAGTGCTAGTCAATCACGTGAATTACATTCCAGAAGCTTCTCAAGTAAAAACTATACGGACACTAACGTTGTATCTAGTTGGCCTTTGCCTTCGCCTTCGGCTTCTTATTTTCATTTAACCTTGCTAGCTGGAATATAATCTTTTCCTGTTCCAGCGTGTTTTCGATTCTTTGGAACTTGTCCAGTGTATTGTGGTCAGAGAATACTAAGCAATAAGAATTAGCTGGGAATTATTTAAGCGAGCGTTACAACATTATGAAATACCTTTTTACTACAAAACTAACTTGAATTGCTTTGTGATTTTAAAAAACAGATTAGTGAAAAGGGTTTTATTGACTTGACTATGGCATAATGTCTATCACTGAATCTGTGATGGGTTTGTTAGATCAGTGGAAGCATATTCCTGGAAAACTTTACAAATCCACATTATTTGCCTGCTTCTATGCTTGATTAATTTATGATGGCCAAAGTGTATCACTAGTTTCGTGAAAGTCGATATGCAAACATGTTCTTAGATTTTGTAATTTACTTATCAAGACAAACGTTTCCTAAATAACACTTGAAGGCTTATAAATTAGAAGGCGAATACGAAGTGTGGAATACGTTTATTTTCGGTACACTACAAATGGACCAGCAGACTACAAACACGCTAACCAGTGAGCAAGCGAATTGGTGAATCGGTGAATGAATTAATAAGATCAAAATGTACACATATATATACACATGAAAATGGCTGAGTCATCGAAATATTTTAAGAGGTTAACATTAAAGCGAGTACGGTAAGCAATGTTCAGGTATACCAGCTCATACAAACCAATTCAAATGTCTGTGGAGACACTGCGAATTTCTGACGATGACTGTAATATCTAACATTGACATAGTTAAGTGTTTAGCCGACCATTCACACTTAAAATTAATATCCGACGATCAAGCCTCAAGGTGTTAATCAAACATTTGCATTCAATTTTATATCATACAAATCCAACTGGATAAATAAAATACCAAAATAATCGATCTAAGCAACTAAGGTGGCTAATGACTATCCTCGCTGATGGTGAAATGCTTTTGAAATTCTAATAGTACAAATTACTGTTCAGCTATTATTTCTTCTGTATGTCAACCTTCTTATAATGTAATATATATTTACAAAAGTGATTTAACATCACACTGAATAAACTCATCATTTAATCTATAACCGGATTGCGTGAATTTAACAAAAGAGACATACGTTCTGAAATATCTTACTTTTGTTTCTGGTATACTCGGTCTGCAAATCCTAAGAACTGATAATGGAGAATAGGTGGTCATGAGGTTACCGACCATATCCCGTAGAAAAACCAACTCGCTAAACAACGTTAAACAGAAAAAGTAATTTAAGCCATTCAAACTCTACACTGTGAGTTGGAAGATCTTCATTTAGACAAGTGATAATGTCTCATGATGAAAGGCTAGTTTCTTTGGAAATCATGAGACCGATGCCACTTCTGACAACCAGAGAAACAATCAATATACAGGTACATGGAATGTATGTACAATATTGGAGACCAGATGAAGTATTCAAATTTCTGTGTATATGAAGAAAAACAACATCGAAAGAGCACAAAAATCACATATTAGTTGAGAATCTCATGGACACAAGATCATCAATGCATTCTTCATACTTCATGGAACTAAATCGATGACACGAGCAAACTGAAGCTGAAGAAGCACTGCACAACATCGAAAGCTGTAACACAAAAGTTTAATATCAACGTTGCTCAGCATACTAACGAATTCTACCAGTTCACAGTTGCTCCCAGATCATATTTCCAAGCATTTCTCTCTGTGCTCAATGAAGAGGAAACTACCATGGAGAGTAATTAGGAAGCGATCAAAGAAGAAGAAACGACTTCAGCATATCACGATGTTTTGTGTCACAAGAACTATTATCACAGCCAATGGATATTTATTCATCATCTAGATAAGATTGAAGAGAAGAAGAAGAAGAAGAAGCGGAACACAGTCATCCATAACAGTCGAACAAGAGGAGAGAAAGCCATGGTACAGGCCGAGTACACATTATCAAACAAGTCAGTGAACAATGAGACCATTTATCACTGATTGACTAGTGATTAGTGATCAATCTGATGCTGGTTCAATCTTTAAGTGAAGAATAAATTCATCCTATAGGTCACTTATGTTCATGAGTTTACGTTATTCGTATTTGCAGAGTCATCATATTGGAAGTGGACGATTATTATTATTATTACTATTAGTTGAAATTGACTTATTGAGTGAAGTTAAAACAAACTGAACGTTTAATTTTCTTGTTCAAACTAGTACATTAAATCACCAACCAATGATTGTGTAAAAAGGATAAGGTAAACTGAGTAGCAAGTTCTTTTGAAATATTTTAAGAATGTGACCTCAAATTGGAGTAGTTTCACTAAACTATATTAAACCAATACAATACCTACAAATATCTCAATACCTTTAAGTCACAACTCACATTTTGCTTATGATGGAGTTTAATTTAGCAAATATTTAACCTAATATCTTCAACATTCAATAAAAACGTGATTTTGTGGTCCGATTGTGCAGGTATGTTTACAGTGCAAGAGTTGAAATATTTGCATAAAAATTATTGTAAAACATAAAAAGTAAAACAGAAAAGAAACTACGATATTCAGATTGAATGAATCTGTGAAGAAAGCGCTGATATATTGTCCAATTCACTGATGAGAACAAATTGACATCAACTGAATCTGCAAGATGTAACTATCTCATCATTGTTGATTGTAGACTAGAAGGAAATGTGCATTTTGAATTCCACTGCTAACCACAATCGATCTATTCTCATAGAAACTTTTCAGAGATATTATCGAGAACTGTAATGTTTACCTAATTGAAATACCGACTGAATAGTATGGAGAGTGTTGTTTGTGCGTAGAATAGTTGAGGTGATTTTGCTATTTGTCATGTTGCTGTGGATGTTGCAAGTGACGTTCACAGTGTGAAATGATGATTGAAAGCGTATGAAGTGGTGCAGTGGTCGGTGATGTGAAAGCTTCATGTAGTGACTGATTGATGCTTGCAAACAATGCTGCGCATTCAATGTATGCGAGTAATGTACAGAGGTGGGCTGTAATCGTTGTAAGTTTATGGCTTCTCAGCCTTCTGAGCTAAGATCATGTGTAGTATCTGTTCTTGGCAGTGTAATTTCTGCAACCCTGTTGAAGACTTTGCCTGGTATTGAAAGAAGAGTGATGCCCCTGTAGTTCTCACACTTGCTGAGATCGTCTTTCTTCGGTACTTTGATGAGGTATCCTTCTTTCCAGTCTGATGTTACTTGTTCCTCATCACAAATCTTCTTGAAGAGAATGTGAAATATATGTGCAGTTGCTTCCACGTCTGCTTTCATTACCTCTGCTGGAATGTTGTCTGGTCCTGCTGCTTTGACGCTCTTGATTTGTCTGATGGCCATACTGATCTTTTCAACTATAGGTGCCCCAACATCAATCGGGAGGTCCGCAGATGCTGCTTCGATGTTGGGTGTGTTCAGTGGAGCTGGTCGATTCAAGAGTTCCTTAAAGTGATCTACCCACCTATTTCGCTGTTCTTCAGTGTTGCTGATTACTTTGCCTTCCTTGCTTTTCACTGGTCGTTCTGGTTTACGACAGTTTCCAGCGATCTTCTTTGTTGTTTCGTACAATTGTCTAAAGTTTCCTTCTCTTGCAGCCTTTTCCGCATCATTGCTAGATCTTCTACATATTTTCGTTTGTCAGCTCTGATGCTCTTCTTCACTTCCCTGTTTGCTCCTGTGTATGAAGCTTTTGAGGTAACTTTCTCTGCTCTCGGTCGGCTGACGTTGATTACTGCCTTTTCGTTCCTCCTTTCATCAATTTTTTCAAAAGTGCCAACAGAGATCCATTCCTTGTGATGGTACTTCCTGCGACCCAGAACTTCGTGACATGTTGAAGTGATCGCCTCCTTGATCCCTTTCCAATTGTTCTCCAATTTTTCTTCTTCTCCGTTGAGTATAACGTGCAAGTCCTGGAAACTTTTGCTGAGGGCTATCTTGAATTCGTTGAGCTTTACATTATCCCGAAGAAAGGCTGTATTAAACTTGTGTGATGTAGTCTAACAAGTTTTCCAGTGTTCTTTGAGTTTCAGTTTCATTTTGGAGATCAGCAAGTGATGATCTGAGGATATGTCAGCTCCTCTCTTGGTTCTCACATCCTCCATGGTCCTTCTGAATTTTTTATTGATACAGATATAGTCGATTCGGTTCTGAATAGTGTGATCCGGTGAAATCCATGTAGCTTTGTGTATCCGCTTGTGTGGGAATATTGTGCGTTTTCTTCTCCATGACCAGAGTATAACAGCAGTTCTCCTGAAGCTAGTCTCAGTTGTCCTACCTGTGTACAGTGTGTTTTACTGACACCGAGCACCTCGAGGTTGTATCTTTTCATTTCTGCAGAAACTTGAAGTAGTCTTACAGTCTCCCACAATGTACGAACTTTCCATGTACCTGAAAGAATGGTTGCTCTGGTTGTCAGAAGAGGCATCGACCCCCTGACTTCCGAAGGAACTGAGCTTTCATCTCGTAACGTCATAATTCTTCTTCCAACTCCCAAGGAAGAGTGAAAATAGTTTGAATTATTTTTTCTGGTTTGCGTTTTTTT